AACTCTTTCCCTTCTAATGGCCTTCATCATTGCTCTCGTTGAAATTACAATTGAAATGAAACGAAATTGAAATTCCGTACTTTGAACTGAAGTGGATTCAGTAATTTTTTGAATTGAGGTGCATATTGTCCGTGAAAAATGACGATATCAGTGGAAGTTGTGACGGTAATTTCAACAGAATATTTTTGGTAGTGCATTTGAGAAACAGCGGGAGGGTGGCAAAAGAGGATAAAAGGTGAACGATAATGTTTGGTGATTTGAGTGAAGAAAAAGAGTGTGTCTTTAGTCACAGGGGATATATTGAAAAGGGTGGGGAAAGGTAGAGTTTGGTCCTTCTTTGCCTCCTCCCCTCGCGAAAAATGCCATCTCATACTGGTCTTGGCATCGCTCATGCGTCGTTAGGACATACCTCGCGAGCTCAAACGCAACTTAGCCTTGCCTCTACCCCCATCCAATATTTCTTTGCCTCATCCAGCCCTCGGTACCATCACCGCCTTAATGCCCAACTCTCGTGCTTTTTTTTTTATATACGATTCCACCCTGGAGCACGAGAATGAATCCGATGGTGAAATACAAACTGTCGCATCAAACTGTTCAACGTCGGTCAACCGTACCACCATTGCTGTTTGACGCTGATAAAAATCTAAAGGGCTTTGTTTTTTCCCTATTTTCGAGGAATCACCAGTGCTCTTGCAATATTTTACTCATACTTGGGTAATTTTTTTTTCCAAAGCGATCACCCAGTGTCGAGGGCTTTTCAGGTGACAGCTGTGCACCGAAAAACCAGCACCACGAAATTTCAATTTATTCGAGCAAAAAAATTATTAATTATCGCAGAATGTATTCTATCTTTCACGATTGGGAAGAATAATAGGTATAGAATAGTAGAATATATTCAGAAAAAAATAATGAATCTCAAATGCTTGATTTACTGTAATAATTTGATGTGGGATTTTTTTCTTTTCACGATAAATAATTCTGAAAGGTCAACAGCCGTCTTGCGGAACCGGAAATTTCCCATTCTTCCCATCCCAGGGACTTGGCCTCCCCCATCCCTATGTAACTCAATTCTGGCTATAAAATAGCAAATTTTTACGAAACAAAACCATCCCATCTTCTCATATTCAGATTAACTCTAGAGTTACAAAGTGCATAAAATAAAAAAAAAATCTCAATAAAATATATTTCGGTGTAATTTGCAAGATTCCGTGGAAGATGAAACTCCTTCCGCAGTTGTTATATTATACGATAGGATAGGTGCGAGTCAATAGCGTGTGTTACCGTTGGAACAGTAGTTGCGTGGTGCTTAGTTTTCAGAGATAAAATCTATCCAAACGAAACACGCGTAGTTGGGAATATGTACATCAATATAAGTAGGCGGAACTCTCTTCCTCTCATACCACTACACACCGAAACAAGATTCCAAGGTGCACACATACATTAACTCGGATAAAAAAATAAAAGAAAAAAAAAAGAAGCCAAATTCACCTCACCTCCCCTGATTACATTTCAGTGTTCACCAGAGTGGACCAGAAACACTGATAAACGAATCCCCAGATTACCAATAATTCCTTCCTCTGTCTCAAGAGCCAACCCATACGAAAAAAACATGCAAATGAGGCGGGACCAGAAGAAGAAAAAAAAAATCCACCAGAAGTAACAAACCACCTATACCAGTTAGACAAATATTTCTTCATGTCGATCGAGGGCGGGAGAAATTCAACGATTAAACCTAAATGATCGTAGACTAAAAAATTTCCCGCTAGCTGTAACAATCAATAAACTTATCCGTCAGATGAATATCGAATGGGCCAATCTCATGTATCAATCTGGGAGAGAATAAAATTTCTGGGAATCTACGAGAAATAAAGGATGGGCATGTGACTGCCAACGCATTGATGAAGAATCTTTCAATAGCAAAAAGTCTCTGCCGCGGATGTCGAATAATGGGCCAGAAGGAGAAATAATTTTCTCAAAATGGAGGGAACGAGTGTCCCCCAGGATGATCGAATAAGAGAGGTCGAGATGTACATGAAGGAAAAGAAAAAAAAAGGAAAGAAAGTGTGGAAGGAGAGAGCTAGCAGAGGTTGAGCCATTTGGTCCCACGCGATAGACAGAGATACCCCCCGCATACCCCCTCCCAACTCTTCGTCATCGTACGAGTTCACTTCTCCGGGTAGGATCAAGTTTTTCTCATCCAATATAAAGCCCTTCTCGAACCGCATCACCGAGCCCCCAACGGCAAACCGACTCCCCTGTCCGCAAGACTTGACTTCCTGGCACGCGGGCTATTTCGTCTTTGTTCTCCACAGTTGTGCTCCACAACCCCAGAAGAAGAGATGAGCCTCAACAGAAGATGTGTTTTTACACCGACAATCACTCGTAATTAAATATATAATCGCAACTGAAATATCTAGATTATTTTGAGTCTAAAGAATCGCGTGCTCAGGATGGATTTAACTTGAGTTACGTGTAACCACTCGTTATCCTCACAAACGACTCGGCTTTTTTGTTAAAAAAAAAAAAGCCATCCCTCCTCTCCGCTTGATTTTTTTAAAAGTCTTTTTCTCCGTTCCTTGACGCGCACTTCATTTCATTCTTATTATACTTTTACCGAAGGGACTCGTCATCAGGCTTCCGTTGTACGTCAGGAGTTATACACCCCGAGTGTTATATATACCAAGAGATGGTCACTCGTAAAACACAGGGCCATCCTGGACCACAATATTACAACTTCTCTCTTTATCATGGCCTACCAGCGCCATATACTTCTTTCACTCCTCCACTCCACATTTAGTTATTTCGTGTGATCACGCCGACCACGCCTCGAGGTGCGAACCACATGAGTCTAATCGATTTCCTCCGGAGTACCCACGGAACGCGCTTTTAACATTTCTTCTTATTTCATACGCTACTCATATTTTTTTTTTATTTCCCCCATTTTTTATTAGATTTTTTTGTAACCACTCCAATGGTAGATCTCACCGGTGTGGACCACTGGCGAAAAATTCGTTTTTAAAGATGATGAAGAGAATTCGAGTCGCTTTTGGACACAGAACGGATCCCCCACACCCGTACACGTGATTACGACGTGAAAATAATTGAAACGTCGCGTTGAGGTCAAAGTCATCACCCAGGTTGCCTCGGCAAAAATAAAACTTCAAAAATAACAGTCTCTTTTAAAATCAACACGGACTATCTTTTGATTATGATTATGAGATTACGATTCTATCGTGACAGCTATCATAGATCAATGTTTCTCGTTTTCCTGAGATGTATCGGAAGCATTGCCGCCAAATTTGCATGTCATTTACATGGTGTAATGACTCCTACGGGTGTTAGCGAGGACTTTCACCCTATAGCCATATATTACCTAACGTTTTTCACCATTAATCACTCCGGAGTGTGCAGAGTGCGGTAAATATCGATCACCAGGTGAAGAGGGAGAAATTCTTGTGTTAATTAAAAGTTTATGTGAAGAATAAAGAAATTCACGAGATTCGCACATTTTATCGTGAATCATAGAGCGCATTATTCCCTCAATTAAAACGGCGGTAAAATAAAACTGCTAAGAGCATCGTATTTGCTACTTGGTGGTTCTTAAAAAAAAAATATATGAGTCTCTTACCTTGATGAATGAAGTACTGGGTCTTTCGCCACCATTAGCAACAGCATAAATCTCCACCTCGTACCACTCGACGCCAGTCTCTCTATCAAGGGGTCCAGAAGTTTGCAGTAGTCCACTCTTAATATCAACGTCAAACAGTCTATCCACTTGTTCACCATTACTACCAGCAGTTACGTTTGTCACATAGTACTCAATATCAACACCAGATCTTCGCGAATGTGCACTAACGCGTAGGATACTTGTACCAGGTGGCTCATTCTCGTATACAGTGGCTTCGAGTGGCCCTTGATGATCCCATACAGGTTTGTCATCATTTTCACCAGGTACAATGAGAGTGAGATAAGTCTCTGATGATCTACGTTCAGCTTGAACAGCTTCGTCAGTGGCTCTGACTCCAATCTGATATCTCCAAGTTCTCTCCATGGTTTTTAATCCCTTGGGGAGCTTCATGGTTATGACACCGGTACTCCTGTGAACTCTGAACATGTCCGAGAAGTTTACACTAGGTCGCATAAGCTCGTACGTCACCAATCCATTGGTACTGGAGTCGAGATCTCTTGCTAAAAGTCGCGCCACTGGAATCTCTTTTCCCAAATTGTAGTTGAGAGTTGACTTGGAGGGTAATACTGTTGCTGACATGCTGACGAATAGTGGTGCATTGTCGTTCAAATCCTCGACGATTACAATTACCAATTTTTCAGCTGATAGTCTAGATGAGGGTGGCTGCGCCCTGTCTGTAGCAACAACGACTAATTTAAATGTATCGACCTCTTCTCTGTCTATCGGAAGCAACGTGTGAATGACTCCAGTCGTTGGATTAATTCCAAAGTGCCTCCTGTCATCCTGAGGATCTTGACTAGCTATTGCATAAGTCACAGCGCCATTCTCACCAGAATCTGGATCCTCAGCGGTTACCGAGTGCACAGGTGTTCTCACAGTTATTCCCTCTCTAATCTGACGTACGATGGCTGTGTTGGGAAAAGCTGGTGGATTATCATTGGCGTCAATCACATCAACCCTGAGCGTTGTTACTGAGCTCAACTTAGGATGACCTCCGTCGGTGCATGTTATGTTCAAGGTGTAACTTTCAAGTTCCTCGTAATCCAATGGTTTCCTCAGGTATAAAGCACCAGTGAGTGGGTCAATGTAAAACGCATCACGCCGATTGCCTGCGGATATTCCAAAGGTCAACTCTGAGTTTGCCCCAAGGTCATCATCACTGGCTTTGAATCTCAATAATTCAGTGTTTATTGGTGTTGTCTCAATCACTGATATCTGGGACATGTTATCGACAAATTTCGGGGCGTTGTCGTTCTCATCGAGTATTTCAATAGTCACTGTGGCACTGGAGGAGAGTCTGACCTCTAACCCAGCGTCGTGAGCCACCACGGTCAATAAGTAATTGTCGAGGGTCTCGCGATCAAGGATTTTTGAGAGGGATATCTGACCAGTTGCCTCGTCAATGACAAATCTTCCATGCTGATTACCATCCTCCAGGGAATAAAAGACATCGCCATTGAGTTTCTCATCAGCATCAGTTGTGTAAACCCTCAAGAGTTGCGTACCAATTGTTGCCCCCTCGCTAATTTGTACACGATACGGCAAACGTTGAAATAGCGGTGCATTATCATTAACGTCAGCGATATAAATCGTAACTTTGACTTTATCACGCAAACGGCTGATTCCATTGTCAGTGACTGTTGCCTCTAGACTGATATGACTGGTACCTGTATTGGCGACCAACTCCTCCCGATCATAAATATGAAGAGACTTGATAAAACCATTTCTCGGATCAACAATAAAGTCCTGTTGGGTTGAGGGTAATGAGAATGTCAGATCTGCATTTCTTCCCACGTCTCTGTCAGTTGCGAGTAGTTTACCAACGAATGTATCCGGTGGTTCATTTTCACGTATGTGAAACGTAAATGAGGAATTAGTGAATTGTGGTGCATTATCATTCTCATCGATTATGTGAACAACAACGGGCACCACCGATCTTCGACTGGGCACACCTTGATCGCAGGCAGTTACTTCCAATGCGTAATAGTCCTGCTCCTCTCGATCGAGGGAGTGTTTAACGTATAATTGACCGTCCGGAAATATACCAAATCTGTCTTGCTGATTTCCATCAGTTACACTGTACAAGATTCTACCATTAGCACCCAGATCAGCGTCAGATGCTCGAAGTGCGAAGAATCTTTCATTCACCGGTGTTGACTCGAGGAGTGAAATTTCATAGCTTGTTAATTTAAACACTGGTGTGTGATCATTTACATCCTCAATCGTTACTCTCACTTGGTGTTGAGCTGAGAGAGGCTGTGCACCAGTGTCCACAGCAGTTACTTCGAGAGTTAGCACCGTACCTGGAGAAGCTCTAACAGGTTTATCCAAATAAATTATACCCGAGTTCTCAGCTACCCTAAATTGTCCACCAGGATTATGCGTTAATGTGTAAGTTATTCTAGCATTAGCACCGATATCCCTGTCCCTTGCTCTAGCCAGACAGACTTCCTGTCCCACCGCAGCGTTCTCCCTCAGCAGTACCTCATCTCCCTTCTCCCCTTTAGGAAATTTTGGTGAATTATCATTAACATCTAATACTGTCACGTTAACAGAAGTGATTCCCCGCGCTAGACCAGTTTTTGCTGATACACGGAGGCTGTAGTAAGCAACCTCCTCACGATCGAGGCACCCAGCTGTTGATATGACACCTGAATGCTCATCGATCTTGAAGTTACCACGAGGATCTCCGTAAACGATTGCATAAGATACCTTGGAGGTAGCGAAGTGGGTTACTTGGACAGAGCCAACTTCCCTATTGTATCCCGATGATACATCAGTGCACTCACCCTTGTCTTCGGATATTTTAAACTCGTAGCCGTTGTACGTGTCGAATTCTAGATTTTCCAAGTCTTCTCGTCTCAAAATTTCAACTACAGCATTTTTAACAGCCACTCTATCCCCCGTATCTCTCGCAGAAATAGTCAATACGTAGAGGGTCTTTTGTGCAAGACGCAGAGAACCCTGAATAGTTATTTCACCAGTTCTTTCATCAACTGTGAATAATCCCTCACCACCGGATTCAAGTGTATATCTCACTCGTGCATTTTCCCTGGCGTCAGCATCCGTTGCTGTGACCTTTCCAATCGAGCTGCCCGGTGCAGTGTCTTCCGGAATTGGCATTAAATAACTCCTCGGATAAAACACTGGAGCATTGTCATTAACGTCCTCGAGTGAAAGTAAAACAGTAGCTGTGGATGACTGCGGGGGAGTTCCTTGATCTCGTGCAACCACAAGCACTCGGTAATCAGCGACTGTTTCCCTGTCTAACGGAATTTTAGTTGTCAATTGTCCAGTGAGGGCATCAAGAGCAAATGTCTTTGGATAATCCCTGAGGACACTCGGGTGTAAACTGTAAGCAATACTTCCATTTGTTCCTTGATCATTGTCGACAGCTGCGAGGGTCGCTACCAAACTGTGCGCTGGTGTATTTTCGGATAATGTTACTTGAACGATACTTTGACCAAACCTGGGGGCCTCGTCGTTCTCATCGAGTACAGTGACCCTGAGGTGTGTCGTGGCGTACCTCGGATTTGGCCCACCGTCCCTTGCTGTCACCCTCAGCTCAATGCTCCCTTGAATTTCACGGTCCAATGTTGCCACTGTTGTCACTAAACCCGTGTCCTGATCAATGACAAACCATGATTGTTCATTACCCGAGTCAAAATCATAGTATATTTTGGCATTGAGACCCGAATCAGCATCTGTCGCTGAAATACTTGCGACAAAACTGCCAATTGGCGACAGCTCCGACAGCACAGCCGAGTATTCACTCTGTTGAAATACTGGATCATGATCATTGACATCATTGACATGTATCACGAGATATGCCGTTGCTGATCTTGGCGGTGTTCCTTTGTCAGTTGCAACAATAGTGAGATTATATTTTGGAATTTCTTCACGATCGAGTCTACCATTAACCCGCACTATGTCGAAGCTCTGGGTATTGTCGAGACGAAAGTGGCCCAACTCATTGCCAGCGCGAATCTCCACGCTTGTCTCACGATTGAGACCCTCGTCATTGTCAACAACAGCAACAGCCGCCACTATTGAGTCTTTAGCGGCATTTTCATCGACTGTTGCAAATCCAGGCTCAGCCGGAAAATAGCTGAATTTTATTTCTGGATCGTGATCATTAGCATCGAGTAGATTAACTGTTACATAAGTTCTACCATCCTGACGTGGTGAGCCATGATCACGGGCGAAAACAGTTATTACACAACTCTTTGGACAACTACCACTGGGTCTCGTTGCGGTGCAACTTTGTTGCGGGCAGTCGAGTAATTCTGCGGTTGTGATAGTACCAGTTTCCGGATCAATTGTAAACTGTCCCTCATTATCTGGCAAATAATATGTTAATTTTGAATTGTCCTCCGTGTCTTTATCAGTTGCTTGTACCGTGAGAACATTGGTTCCCACGGGTGCACTCTCATTCAGTGCCACAACATAATCACTCTGCTGGAAAATCGGAGGATTGTCATTGACGTCAAGTACCGTAACATTAACGAGTAAATAACCGAGTCTCGGGGGTTTGCCACGGTCCCTCGCGCACACGTTTAGGGAATAAAATTCAACTTGTTCCCTGTCAAGTTTACCAGTTGTCTCTAAATGAAGATACGTTGTTTCACCGCTGGGATTGGCCGTAACATCGAGGCGAAATTTCCCATCGGTATTGCCATCGACGATGAAATAATCATCGACAACACCATTATCAGGTGTGTCTCTATCAGTAGCGGCGTCGAGGAGTAATTTTGTTCCAGCAGCCGCTGATTCCGAAAAACTCACAGCTATACTCGACTCCGGAAATTCAGGATCATTGTCATTGACATCAACCACATGAATTCTCACCTCAATGGGATATGTCGGCTGACTGGAGAGAACAACGAGATCGAATTTATCAGTGAGTAGGGCCTCCCTGTCGAGTACCCTAGCCGTTCTAATTTGTCCGCTCTCTGGATCCAACGTGAACTCCTGTGGGGGCTCGTTAAATCTGTACGTGAAGTCCGGCTTCACTGGTATCGTACCAACAAGTGTACCCTCTGGCTCACCCTCTCTAATACCCAACTGCACTCGTGTATCAACTGCTCTACTCTGCATAGCAAGACCCATACTACCATCCTGCGGCAGCATAGGTGATCTCCTGGGTACGAGCCTCGCCATCTTCTGCGATATAACCCTGTCGTTAGTCCCCAGGTTATAATCATGGCAAAAACCTGGTGAAATAAGTCCCAGGGCCAGCACCAGGACCAGGACCAGGGTGAGGTTAGTGTCACTCCACATTTCTATTCACCTCAAACCCCGTCCCGTCTTCAATCCCCAATTCTACCAATCACTACCTTTCACACTTTTTCGTCATTGTCAAGCGAACTTTCATCCTGCTGTGAATATTCCACCGTCTATCCAGACATGTCACTCATTATCTCAACTCTCAGCTGCCTCCAATCGTACACCATCGAACTTCATCCCGGATTGGCTATTATTATTGAATTACACCTGAATTCGAGTAAACACGCCACGAGAATTCTCACTGCACTTGGTGGGGGCACTGACCGCCCAACAGCCGCTCCTCCAAGAGACGCTTCTTCTTACCTCCACGTTTTACCTCTAGTCACGATAAAGATTGACGCTAGGAATCAAAGCGACGTTCGGCCTTTTTTTACTCCTGTCCAATATCTTCCCTCAGCGCTTTTTCTCCTCTCTCTCTCTCTCTCTCTCTCTCTACCTCTATCCCTCACCGTTTTAAACTCTTTTATCGTTGAATCACGTTTTTCCCCCGGTTAAAATCCCCGAGAGCACGTCGTGGACAACTTATCAAAGCGGCTGAACCAACGGAATTCGCTCGAGATGACACTCGTCACAGTCGATCGCCGATCTCACCAACCAAACGGTACATCTCACCAACAATCGCACGTTGTATATAAAATCGAATCAATCCCCCCCATCACCTCTTATCAACTTCCGTGTGTCAACTCACTGAGACATTATCTCTCATCTCAATAATAAACAATCTTCAATCCACAACAATGACAACCATCACTCACTCTCACAGCACACCAACATAACCATATATTAAACCACCTAACTCAAGCTAAATAAACAAAAATAATAAAATACTCAAATATCCGGAATTTATGCTTTATACACGAGTTAATGATAGATGATTGATTATTGAATGGTGTTGTCACGACGCGGTGATGTGAGCAAAATAACTTTGAAAAACGTGTGAATAACCGAGAGAAAGGATCGCAGTCAACTTATCCCGTGGACTGACCCGACACGACTGAACCGGTGGATTGTACCCTCTGTGTACAGTGGGGCCCCCTTTTCTCCCCGTTCTCTCGTGCCAGTGTACTAGGTGTGTGTGGATTTGCCACTGCTCATGAACGTGTTGGTGAGTTTAAAAAGAAAGAGGAGCATTCTTGGGCCTCTTGTGGGCCTGACGGTGTCCCTCTCCAATCCATCGGACCCCACAATCCCCATCCACCCTCCACCAATCTCCTCCACTTCTCTCACTCTCTCTATTCATCATTTTCTTCTCTCCCACTCCTTTACCCATACCCAGTTACTCTTCCATCTCACCTAAAGCCATGAGTGTGCGGGCACATCCCAACAGAGCCTTCTTTTCTGCCGGAGATATTCTACCTTTTGCCCTCGAGGAACGAGCAATGCGGAGGCTCAGGTATTCAAGATGGCCGAATCAAGGCACCATAGCACCGTAGTACCCTGGCTTCTTCTTCTACTTCGTCTTCTTCGTCTTCTTCTTCTTCCTCTTCTTCCTCGTCTTCCTTGGTGTAGTGTGTGGCTGTCTGGCTGTGTGCGTAAAGCACTTCTCTCTTCACTCCTCCAGCGGATACCCCCGGTGGATTTTTTAAAAAAGAAAAAAAAAATAGGGAGAAGAATGAGAAGGATAGAAACCTACCGGGAGATGAATAATGCGTGGTGGAGACGATGGGGAGAGGACAAACCGATGCCAACAGAGATGGACAGAGCGAGGAATTTCGAGTGATGGAGGGACAGGTACTGGGTGGAGGTAATGTCGATATGTGTGGTTTTAAATATATATGTATTTCTTTTTTTTTTCAGTCTTTGAGGGGAATAGGTGTCTCGTCGTTTTCTCGATGCAGGGTCGAAAGTTGGCCGCATGTTGTAACTAATCCGTTACCGTTTCTTCCGGATATTAGTCACTGACTTTAACAAATGTTCTGGATTATGGAAGCAAGCGGGTGGTAGATAAATTGTGATTGTCAATTTATTTTGATTTTACGGCGACGTGGAGGAGGGGGACAAATTGATGATTTTCATGAGCTGGTTAAGCGTTTTACCTCGTTTCGTGTAATTTGTCAAGCGACTATTTCCGCTATTGTTCAGATAATTATATTCAGCAGGAGAGACAGAGCCAACGCCAATTATTAATGGAAAACCGTAGGGTTTAAAAATAAATCATCATTGTTACGAGTCGCGGGGCTTTATTTTATTCGGAGTTTATTTAATCAGGGAATGCTGATACGCTTGGAGGGGAGCATACATTACGAGCTAATTAAGTTGAAGTTAATGTATATACTTGCGGAGCATTAGAGACCACGGGGTATATTTATGACGAAATACAGAGGTACCCGGATTATTTTTTTTAATACCGTTATGGCAACAAAGTGATCGGCGATTTATGTTGGTTTTAGTGATGGATCATCGATCATGGGTCATGGACTGTATTTATTTGATTTATTTCTCAAGATGTGGATGGTCTCGTGTGGGATTGAAAAAACAGTGGGTCAGATTTGGAGCACCATCTGCGGCTTGGGAAATAGCCGATATTTTGTGATCGGGTAGAATCGACGGATTCGAAGTCGTTTGATTTATGATTACAAATTGGTGAAAGTATCTATTGCGCGCATTAATGGCGGTAAGCCACAATTCCGTGCTCAGTTTACTCTTCTCCCCTCCTTCATCTTGTTTGTTTTTTTTTCCTCTTTCTTGTGATGGGTCTCTTGGACTGTTGGGGCTCGTGCCTTCCTTGGAATCTCGTGTCCAATTCAATTAATTAGATAAAAAAGTCATTTCAGCAGATAAAATACTATTTATTGAATGAGACGAAGCGTGCTTAGTCAACCATTCCACAAAATGTATAATCGAGACGTTATTTTCTCTGGGTAACATCGATTAAATAACAATAATTGCCTGTGGGGCCACTTTAATTTGTAGTGAATTAGTTTACTGGGGGTTATTCGGGTGAATATATCTCGAGAGAGTCTCGGAGTTACGTCCAATCAGTTAATCATCTCATTTCGCTTTTTAATTTTTATTCTGATTACGCATACATAGATTCCCTCACATCAAGAATATTATTAAAAATATTCTTCATGCAATTGATGATTAATGAATAATTCGCAAAGAGTCTGATGTCATTCTCTGTTTTTTTTTCAATTGACATCAATTTAAAAGAAAATTTTTTTATATTATTCGTGGCTGATTATTTTAATGAATTATTTTGAAAACGTTCTGTTTTAAAGATTTTCCGCGTTCCTGTACCCCCTGTAATTTGAGGGAAAATCTCAGTGGAAATTAATGGAAAAATGTGGAATAGGGTGACGGAATAGGTTGATCGGTATGACTGTATCGGCAAGGATTTGACTCGTCATGAATAAAAATGTGAAAAAATAGTGGCAATACTTCAGCTTTTCAATCACGTCTAGTGGAGGGAGGGTCTGGGTCGAACAGTGGTCATATTTTCTCGGTTATGATGGATGATCGGTGCTTCCTCAGCGATGTTTGACCGTTTGCCCCCACCGGTTAGCCCTCCTTTTATCCACCAGTCCCACATTCATTCTTACTCTTTTCAAAGAACTCACGACATGTCTCACAAAGTTTCATACAATTTTTCTCCCTTTCAATCATTCATTTTTAATCCTGCTCTTTTCAATTCAGGTTTAATAACAGGCTGGCAATAATCAGTGTGATCGATTCTTGGGATTGCCATCGCAATTCAGTGTCGATCAAGAGATTTCATCGTTGCGATTAGACCCACGTTGAAAAGAGGTGAAAAAAATCACTGGGTCTCTAATGCTGACCGACAATTAAAGGCATTGCATTTTCTCGAGCTGCTGCTATATCAGTCTAGCACAGCCCCAGGGGGAAGCGAAAGTAAAACGCATTTTGCCACCAATCTCAGCAGACGCAGATGTCTGTAAACAAAATATTTTTTCAACGTCATTTATCTTCATCAAAACTCTCGAATGCATTTTAAAAATTTGAGGTCGAGAATGCATTATGCAACGTGATAGTGAAACATATAAAATTTGCAAAATATATTTTCCGAATAAATCCATCGGTTTTCACCGCAAAATAAAATAATTCCTGTCCGCAAAAACGTAGAGTCAAATAATCACTCCTCAAGATAACACAAATTATGATATTAATGAAAGTAAATTTCTCTTTTAGTCTGATCCTGCCTGGAACTTTATAGCCTGTCCGGCCACTTTTAATTGGCACTTCAAAACGGGAGATCATACGTAGTAATAAAAATTATAATAAGACTGGATATTTCATCAATCTTCTCACCCTCAAGCAAATTTAGTGTTACTCCATTTAAAATTATCCCAACGGTCCATGGAATTTAATTTTTTTCAGGCACTATGATTATGACGGCATTATGACGGCATTATGACGGTGGCACACACGCGATTGATCGCGTTTCCTGCATTTTTAATAATTTTTTCAGTCAGTCGTCTTTAAACATTTTCCTTGATCATTAAGGCAACTTTCCCTCAGCAACAAAAATACCGAACAATACCTCATCTCTTAGAGATCTCGAAAGCGTTACAATTATTTAGTCTTCCTTTTAAAATTATTGTCATTGAATTTGTAAAAGTTTTCTAATTAATACGTTTGTCGGTCAGCATGGACTTTCTCCAGGCATGACTCTGATAATACTATATATCTCTCCTGAACTCCGTAACGCTCAGTCTCATAAATAAACCTTAGAAAATGTCAGATACATTGTACCAGGATAAAGAGCCTAGGAATGCCAATCGGAAAATTGTTTTGATCCGGTGGAAATGGCAAATCGCGAATGCAGCCGATGTTTGGCTTTGGGGGCTGAAGCGTGTCGCAATCTTGTATATATATACGAGCGATATTTTTGCACGATCAAGAAAGAGATGCCGAGTCCACGGGAGATTGGAATGTGGAGATTAGCCGCGGTGCGAGCGCCAATGAAGTTGAAAATAAAAAATCATGAGAATAAATGACAAAAATGGCATTTTTACAATTTGTTTCAATTCCAACATTTTCATCTCTCCCATCTATCTCCACTCCCACTAAAAAATCCCCCAGACCCCCCTCCCAGCCCAAACAAATTGCAATAAATACGCAAAAACATCACAAAACATAATCATTATTTCATCGATCATCAATATTTTTTTCGCTTCATCATAAAAATGAATAGAGTATCCTTGAGATGAGAAAAATGATTGTGGCAGATGAATTCATGAAAAGGGAATGAAAAAATAAAAATAAATAAACCAAAACCAAAAAAAAAAAAACAACAAGTGGGCTTTTAGACCTTCGTGAATTCATGAGAAAATAACGAAGAGTTTGGAAAAAAAAAGGAGAAAAATAGAAAGGGGGGATGTAAGGATGGACGACCGCCACCGCGAGCCGATCGCTAAAATCGTGCACCCAATCAGCCGGTCTTTTGTGTTTCCAAGAAACAGCACCGGCGCGCGAGATGACCGCGTGCGTGCTCAACGCTCCTCTCTCTCCTCTCTCACCCCCTCATATTTACTCACCCCTCTCTCCCTCTCTCTCAGCCCTCCCGTGCTTTTTTATACTTCATTTGATTTTTTTTTCCCTCGGAGGAAAGGGGCCCCTTATGCCTATATCCTAACGCCGTGAGTTCTTTCTCGCCACGGCTATTCTCTTCGATTGGATATGCCGTATAGATATGAGTCCCAAATGGAGAAACCAGTCCTCCGATGATCCTCTTTGACGCTATGGACAGTCTCCCCTGGCATCTTCTCTCTGCCAAAACTCAAAGACCTTCGCAAATATACTTTTTCCCCGGCGATAATGTGATTTCAATACTGATAGTCCAGGCCGCTTACACCTTTGCAAAAATTAAACGTCAAATTCTTCGTTCAGTAATCAAATAATTTTTCTCATATCCTGATTTTATGAATGAATTATCAATTGTCTTGAATCAACATTTTTAATGATTCAAAATATATAAAGTATAATATTTGAAATCGAAGCTGTTCCTTCGAACGTTCAACGCTTTCTCAACAAATAGTGAAAAGGAAATGATTTTTAACGACTCGAGGTAATTAGCCAGTTATTGTGATTGGATGAAAACATCAATTTGCAATTTGCCTCTCCCCCGGGTAAATACGATCATAATGAAATCCCATTATGTCCCTTCCATTGACATTCACCCGGCAATATGAAAAATCGTTTCCAATACCCTGTCGAAAGCCCTCGAAGGCAATAAGTACGAGTGTCCAAGTTGGTGAGTATTTTTTTTTCATCTGGGGCATGGAGGAATGAATGTCTCGACATGCCGAGTGGACTTCTAACCGTAGTTAGAGACAGTGAGGTCTATTGTTATGGACCTCCTAGGCCGGTCGAACGACTATCGTTTCTCATACAATCCAACAATTCTCATTCTCTCCTTCTTCAGCCTGATAATACCATCCATAATCCACCCATAGAGCCCTCTCACTCCGGCCACGCTCACCCCGGGTGACTAGAGAAGAATTCATGTTTTCCTTTTGCTCCTACTACGGTCCATTGCAGAGGAGAACGAGACAGGATGCGAGAGAGGGATAGACTAAACGATGATCATAGTCGGACTTGGGTATCGGGCATGTTTCACCGTCGGCTGTTGGATATGCGATGTCGCCCCGGGTCAAAAGATAATATCCCGTCTCTAGGGGTCATCCTTTCCACTACGATACGGTTCCGTGCCTCTCGCAACATACTCGCCGATAATACCTCTGTACTTATTCTAATGTCCAAACTCTCAACCGAGTGATTGACAATTGGGCTTTCTTGGAATTTTCGTTTATCGCGAATAATCTGACAGATGGCTTACCGGTGATTCCCATGGTGTAATCGGTCTCGCCTATTTTATTTTTTTTTTTCATTTGCATTTTAGGGGGATATATTTATATTTCAGCCAGAATTCATTGGGAATCCAAAGAATTTGGAACAATTGATTATTGATTTTCCTCTGATTTTCATTAATGTCAGTATTTTTTTTTTATAATCTATTTTTGTTTCTTCCATATTTGCAATTTACTTATTAAATTGAAAATTCCAGCGATTCGAAACGAATTCTACGAATTGGCTGGGTTTATTAAAATATAAATACTATTCAATGTTCTCTTAAGAAAAAACAATTATCCACAGACTTCAATATATATTTTATAAAAAATAGTTGCTTACACCGGAATGATTATTTGGGTGCACCATAGGCGTCAGGCATTCTCTCAATGGTATATCGATGCTGTGATACATACATAATGGGGACACCTGGTATTTTTCTTATCCTACTCTTCAAGTCTTTATCATTAGTCGCCACAATGTAGCACTTGTGTTGTGTCACTCTATTCACCAAACAATCGTCGGCGTATGTTCCCTTGTGCATGCAATGTAGCCTCTCGAACCTCGGATCTTTGATGATTCTCAGTGCAATCTTGTATTTTTGTCCTAGCTTCTCCAACTCCCCCATCACGCAGTCCGTAACGTAAGGAATGCATTTAGCGTAGAGGCACTCCATCATGTTTTGAATTATATCGAGTTTATTTTTTATTGAAAAATTTACGAAGTTCGTGTCGATCAAGATGTGATAGGGGGGACCTAACTGCGTGTTGTATTGGAAGAAAAGGGCTGACGATTGTTGTGGCCTACGGGAACAAAACAAAAAAATTTAGAAAAAATATTAATGAGATTTATTATCGATTGATGCGTTTGGATATTAAACTACTTACGCCTCTCTGACTTTCATTTCTGTTGGATCTTCAGGTTTTTTCTTCCTGGGAGGTGCTCTCTTATCTTCTTTTCTAATAAATCACATAGAAACTCATAAATATCATTTTAAAACAGCGGAATAAAATCTGCACACTGGAGGTGTAAATTATTTCATGAATAAATATATAAAACACGAAAAAAGAAACGATTCTGATTGTTTACGCACATTCTGGAGTCACTAGGACTGATCATCTTCTTCATCTTCGCAAACCTCTGCAGCACTACCTTCCTGGTTTTTTTATTCTTTCCCTGTAAATAAACAGAATTAGAACTACCTGATTCTTTAGAGAATCCCAATTCCTCACCATCTCAAAAAAATACTCAGCAACTAATATGCAACAACAATGATCCACCACGAGAAAAATTTAACCTCCATCCCATGTGTCTCTCAACAAGAGTCTCGAGCTCTAACCACTGGTGGCACCACTTCCTAGCCTTCAAATCTCAGGTATGATACAAGCAGGGGACAAGTTCTCTCAGGCGGCACGATACAGCGCGGCGGTCACTATCACCTTCCCCTCATCTCCATGTCATCCCCACTCTGCAGCTGTTCGGCACTGGTGGAACTATTTAAAAAATGATAATTTTAAATAGCAGGAAAAAATATAAAATATGGCCTTGGTTGATGGGATGTGTGGTATCTACATGACCTCAAAGTTTCAAAAATAGAATAAACTAGAGAAGCATTACCCAGTCTCCAAAAATCAGGCAATAACAATAAATAAATTGCGCTAAACGCTAAATTCTCTTCAATCAATTATTTTTCACTGACTATTGGATTTTACGTGATTGCACTGTTTTTTTTTAAGAGAGAATTATTTATTAGGTTAAGAATTTTCGCAATTATCGTATCTCGTCAAATTGAGACTGCCCGC